AATTACATTCCCATGTTTCTATACATTGATTTTATAAATAGATGAATGAAGACGAGTTTTTTTTTATAACTCGTATGTATAATTACGTCATAATAAATACAAAAACAAATGTTTACAATTTCGAAGGCGTATTCGGATAATTTATAAATATAGTCGATGTCTTTTGTCATATTGGGACAATTCTTAGCGGGACGTTCCTAGGTTCAAATATTAACAGACGCGTTGCTTGGAATCCCGTGGAGCACGTACGGTTTCTATTAAAGACAAGATACTCCCTTTTCGCAAAACACGCGAGTGCCAGTGGGGATGACTCGAAGCAAGCCCCGGTAATAATTCCTCCGTCGAATTAGCGCCATAAGTTTGGCGCCGCGACAGCCACGGAGACAATATTAATCTACTTTGAATTTATGCACTCCGCGGTTTTCCACCGACCTAGCTTGTATTAAGTCTTCCCGCAGCTTTTTCCCGTTTTTCCATCAAAATCTCTTCTGACGTAAAAGTTTTTTTTGAAAACGAATGAATTGAGATATTAGTAGAAGTTTCATTTTAATTCCTGTTAGTCGATCGCAAATACTTAGATTTTATAAATAAATATATCATTCATAATTCGTATATATTTTAACACGGATTTTGTCCAGAGTTTTTATTTTTTTTTTCTTAATTGTAAATATTTAGAAATGTATGTGCAACACGTTTTTTGTTTTTTTTTTTAGAAAAAAAAATACGATTTGAAAAAAATTGAACTTTTGATTAAAAACTGTAGAAGCTAGATATACTAAGAGAATTGCCGTTATGTCGGTTTATTAACTCTGTGGCTCGTACTATTAAGACGTGGTTGAGCAAGCGGAGAAGGAGGTAAGATTCACCCTCTCCGTGCAGACAGATAAATAACTCAGGACAGCCTGGGAATAACTTAAGACTTCTACTCTAATGATACTTGAGTAAATTCAAAAGATACTCGTAGTGATAATGCTTGATATTCTGTGTGTGTTATGCCTTTATGTTTGAAATATATATATCTATATTTAATGATATATATATATATAGATACTTCTACAAAATTATGTACAATAATTAAAAAAGAGAAAAACAAATTTGTGATATTTTATTTAATGAATATTTTTTTTCATATCAATTATGATTAATTTGAAGCACTAATCTCGTAAATTATCTACAATGTTAATTAACGAATTATTCTTCAATGAAATAAGACATATATTCATCTGATTTAATTATTTAGTATGATTACAAGATATTTCTATGTTTTTTTTATGATTAAACTCTAATAATAATAATAATTTTTTATATGTATCTATTGATAATTTCTGCGTCTATACTGTTTTCTGGATCTTTTCTTTTCGATCCCAAACATCCCAGCAAAAAGTCGTGCGCATTCGCTCTTTAAAGCGACGTTAGAAACACGTAAAGCATGCGATAGCCCGGTATCTCGATCTTCGCGAAGGAAAAAGCGCGCATTGCAGCCGTACCTTAAACCGTGCATTAACCTGGAAATAAACGGGGTGCCGTTCGACGTAGCACATACATTATGCGCCGAACTGCGCCGCGTTCCAGTACTTTGCTGCATCTTCGCGAGACGTCAGCTCGCGTCCGTGGCATTTCTCTCGATGAGTCCCGGCCGGAAAAAAAAGTTTTATGTTAAAGCCGAAGACCGCGGGACTGGGCTCACTGCCGGGGATTAAGACATTCTCGGGCTAATAATTTTCATGCCTGGCCATGAAATGTTTTGTCCGTGTCCGCCTTGCTTTTCTTACGCATAATTCACGCCTAACAAAAAGCCGCGGGCGTGTGATGCGTGTCGCGCTAGTTCACAAAAATCAACGCCCGAATCAGGCGACAATTAAACGACCCTTCTTCGCTCGTCAATGAGCGATTGCGACGATTTTCAGATAGATCCGCGAGATTTTCTGCGGACAATAGGTGTCAGTCGGGGAGAACGTAATGCCTGGAGGTGCACGGTTCGAGCCTCGAGTCTACAATTATGAGCCATACCACGTCGGGGCGAGCCTCATAACGAACTCACTATATTGCCGAGCATTTCAAAACTGGCCTTATACCCATATAAAGAGAACGCTCTTTACCTGGTTTCTCCCTTCCTTCGTTCTCCTCTTTACGTGCTCTCGCCGTGGCCAGTGAGAGACGAGAGGAAATGTGCCAGAGATAGGAGGCGAGAATAACGTTTGGCGATGAAAAAAAGGAACTTCGGGGAATTCGTACCGCAGAGACTATGCACTCCCGCTGTCAGTGGTCTCGATTGAAAGCGTCGACGATGATGTTGGAATAGATGATGTAGCTTCATAACGCTAAGCGATCGCTATGACTACACTGAGAAAAATGGTCTGGTTGGATTAAGTAGTAATTCTAGTGGAAAATGAACAAATCAGAATTTTCTGGTTAAGTCTATTAGAATTCTAATTGAGATAATTAGAATTCTGATTAATATAATTGTTCTGGTAAAAATAAGAATTCTAGTATATATATATATAGATTTTACCAGAAATATTGTATCAAACAGAATTATTCCGGTTATCTCAACTAGAATTCTAATAAATTTAACCAGAAAATTCTGATTCGTTCATTTTCAACCAGAAATTTTTTTCAGTGTATGGTTCAAAATTATTGACGAAGAATTTTGCGCAGTCCCGCTAATTGAGACAGTCAAAAAAAATTTTTTAAATTAATTTTAAGAAATTTTTTTAGAATTCTTTGTTGATACTAATATTTCCCATTTAATTTGATATTTTAGCAATATAAAAGTTTTACTATTATTAGATTTACACGTATTTATTTTGTTATATACTCTAAATTTTAATTAGTAGATGATCATTGATATCAGTCCCAAATATGCCATTGGATAATCAATGAAATTCAATTGAAAAAGAAAAAAAATTTGAGCATTATATACTTAATTAAAATACCGATATTTACAGGTCAGTTCCAATACCATTAAATGTTTATATACACTAAGACGAGGTTAGGAATTCCACGTTTCATTTTTTAATTGAATTTCTGATTATGAATCACTGACCCAATGACATACTTGGGACTTATATCAGTGATTATCCACTGATTCAGATTTAAAGAGTATCTATTAGTTTGTTTAGCGTAAAGGCTCGATTCATTTTCATTTCACTTTCAAATATTTTTCAAGTATCGATAGACTAGGCACAGAAAAGTCTAGAAGCTTTTATTGGGCAAACGCTGCAACTTCACGCCACGATTGTACTTTACACTACTTACCCCTAATCGGTCTTGCTTTATTTTCGTAACCGCATTGTATATTCACTTTGCCTTTGACTATCCGCTCCGGTCGCCGCGATCTCTCGTCGTGGCGAATCTCTGGGATCATATACTTGAAAATAAATCACATTGCACAGAGGATGCTGCGGCCGGCAGGAAACATCGACCAGATGTTAGTCGCTGTACCGACGTCGCGCGAGACACGTGTGTCCAAGTCATTGGAGAGAGAGATGACACCCGCTATATTTAGTTCTATGGGAAAAAGGGGTTACAGAGACGTAATCACACCTACGCGTGTGCTGCTCACTCGAATTCCCATACCTACTTTTTAAGCGATTAGAAATTCTTTTTTTTCTTAGCATGATGTATGTAACTACATATCCAGTATATAACCAGTTACAGTTCTTTTTATTATAGGCTTGATCCCATTAAAGAACGATATCAGATTTAAACTAATTAATTAATTAAGTGATATGTGACAAGTGAGATTATCCTCGATATCGATGCCTCATGTAATGAATTATAAATATTTATTTGTTAATTTACTTTTTTACGCGTTTAAAAATTAAATAAGCGATGTAGGAATGTTTATTTTACTTCCGTGTCTTTTTATGCGTTGTTCTATGCTTAGTGTGCAATAACAATAATATTATTTTGCGTTGTAATGCCGTAATATGAACCGTACGTATCGTAATAGTTTACATTTACACGAAATGTAGTCGTATAATTATATAGAGGGACGCAGATTGGTGGATCACATATGCTTCGAGAAGACGCGTGGGAAGACGCTGTTATAGCCGTTGGCAGCTGTTCACACGTGTATCCGATGCTTAAATTTAATGCGGATTGTCTTTTGTGTCTTCAACGTCCAAATGAAACAATATAAAAAAGTTTCGTTTGGTATTATATCTAGAGATATTCCGATATAATCGGTATTTTGAAATATCGTATCATTATATCCCTTTTGATATTTGATATTTGCATCGAAATTTTTAATTTCCGTATCGTAGCATATCGGATCTGGAACGTAGATATCAATTGATTCGATACGAAGGTTGTATTTCCAAAATTCAACCGCATAATAAGGATGTCAATTCGGGGACAGTTTACGACATCGCGATCAACGTCATCATGAATGAAATTAAAAGAAATTTTATGTTTCACATTATCTTTGTTAGTTGATAGACTTATATGTATAAAATGACGAATATGTATTGTATAAAATGTATAAATGCATAATTTTTTATTCTCATCAATCTTTCTCCCATTCCCATTTGTGTATATATAAATTTACTAAAATATTTATTATTTTATTGATAAATTAGTGAATATTTACCTAGTGATTTTTTAAAATTTTTCTTTAAAATCGAAAGTTCGTGCTTTCCGCACGTCTCTATATAATAAAACATGCAAAAAAGTAACGATATTCCCGAATATCGAATCATTTCCAATCAATATATTGCCGTGTCAATATTGCGTATTTCGATTCATATTGATACGAAATATCGATAGTCTATGCTTCTCCGCACATCCCTAATTATATCACTTTAATTAAGAGTCAAATTATTATTTATTACGAGTCACAAGTGCATATACCATATACAGATATTTATTATATGTTAAAGAATGTACATTGCTCTGACGTTTTAAAGCTAATTAGCAGCAAATAATTTATAATAAAAATGAGAATTTTGCTATTACGACTGTTATTAGTAATGTATCACGAACATTTATGATTTCAGATTGATGCCCCAGTAGAAAATGAAACCGATGTCGAATCCGATATCCACAATATAGATTCTTCATCGCCAGAGAAAGGCTTCAAGGGTGAGTAAAAACACAATTTTTTAATCTATTTTCCTTTTTTTCTTCTGAATGGATGTTCTAAGGATATATAGAGTATATAGTGCATGTGTGCGCATATATTTATTTAGTATGTCGTAAGATGTGAATTAAGTTTCAAGATTACTCGTGGCGTTATATATTAGTTCGAAATTATGATTACTCATTGCTCTCGTTTGAGACACGATGTGCGCAATTATGTGACTCGGGATAAGTAAGATGATAGTTACGATATGCAGACATATATCATTTATAATACTATAATTTCGCGAAAAAGCGGAGATTTCTCTCGCATAGCCGGAGAATCGAAGGCGACGAGAATCTCCGGCGGGAAGCTGAAATTAAGGCATTCGTCGTGGATACATATACACCGTATATACGAACGAAGCCAATCCACTTAAGGCGCCTCATCTCTCCTTCACCCCCTTTGCTCGCGCCAGGGGTGGTCGGCAAGGTTTTGTTCTCGAACAAAAATCTGACAAATATGCCGCGATTTGCCGAAGAATGGAGGCGAAGTGCACCATCCTCGCCTCGTTTCCCTCCCTGGCGGAGTAACTTCCACCCAGGGTCCAAGCAACCCACCCTTCACCCTTTTCCCTTTCTTATTCTCTTCCGTTCTCTCTTAGATTTCCGTCCTCTCTTGCCGATCCCTCGTCTTCTCCTTTTAAGAGACGGAGGAGGAAGAGGTAGAGGGCAAACGGTGACTCTTAAATTACTTAGACCGAACAAAATGTAACAAATGACTGCGAATCGAGCCACTTATGCGATATTGGCCCATCACTACCATCCACGTATATTGATACGTCGCATTAGGGCTAGTCGACACCCTTCGCCATGCCGACTGACTATCTCTCCGTTTCCTGTGTTTCGTTTCCGAGAAGAAAGAGCTTTCGTTAGGGGCTTCATTCGCTGTGCAAACAGACTATCCATGATCCGACTTGTTCTCGTTAAAAAAACTTATTTTCGCTAATTCGCTCTGAGTCTCATGATTTTCCAATGTGTTCGAACGAGATGAACGATGCACTCGATCTTTAAAAAATAATGGAAGAGAGTGTAAAGCAGCCGCTGTTCTGGAGAGTTTCTCACGAAAGATCTGCGGTTTCGAGCCCTCGCCGAATATCAGCTTCTCTTTTCCTGCCCGCGCGCGCTCCTCGCCGAGTCCTTTCGTTATTAATGGTTTTCGCGAACTAGGTTCATTAAGGAGCTCACGAAACTCCACGGCGCATTCATGAGAGCGCCACCCCTTCCAGTTCTCACGGGATGAGGGGTAGATGTCGGGTACGCGCAAAGTGTCGAACGGGATGCTCGTGTAAATTAGTATAGCATATATATTATCTTCACGCCCTTTTTCTTAGTTTGTTTTTGAAGTATTTTTACCACTGCCATTTTTTCAGACTAATATAATATCAAATGATGACATATATTCTTGTTTCGAAAAATGTTGTATTGTTACTTCTACTTTGTAATCTTTTATGTTTCGAGAAATGACAAACGATTACATGAATATTTTATATACTGAATGTAACCTTTTTTTTCGTCTATTTCTTTAATATTATAACATTAAAAAATGAACATTCTAAGTAATATTAAATATTTTACGCTTTACTTCATGTTACGTCAATGTGAGAATTATTATGATTATTATGAAACTTATTTAACAATAAAGATAGCAAAACATTCTTGTTAAATAAAGCCGTCTTTTGCGAAAGCGGATATTGAGAAAAAAACGCGATAGTTTGATGAATTTGTAATGAAGACATTAACGTATTCGTTAATTGCTCACGCTTGCAAAAGTAGAAGCAAAGGGCGATGCACCTGTTAACTAGTGCGTTCAATCACGCGCATTGGACCCCGGGGCGCGGATTATATGCGACAAATTACGTAAAAAAAAAAGAAGGCATCACCTTCCCTGATTTTTTCTCCAGCTCTTTCATCATTTCCTTCGGCACAGGCTGGAATTATGCTAGAGCACGAGGTAATGCAATAATAAGTATAAGTTAGCCAGAAAATCAGGTCCTATGAGAATGAAGAAGACGATGAACGAGTGAGCGAGAGAGAGAGAGAGAGAGAGAGAGAGAGAGAGAGAGAGCCAGCCAGCCTCTTCAGTATCTGTTGACTTTATCATCCAGGACGAGCCCTGAGCATGTCGTTTGAAAAGAGATAATAATAATATTTTTACAATACTAATAAAAAAAATATAAGAATAATAGACATTTTCAGTAATAGATATTTTTATCGATTATACAGGGTATCCCATTTTATACCTTCTTATGTCCCTCCGAATCATACAACTTTATACCTTCTTATCTCCCTCCGAATCATACAACTTTTGTTTGAAACATTTTTCCGTATCTACCATGGTTTTCGAGAAATCTTAATGCATTATTTAAAATGGGACACCCTGTACAAGTCAGATCCGTTTGCATCGCAATATATTTCTCGAAGATCCTTAATGTTCTTGAACGGTGCGGACATTCGCACACGCTGCACTGTCTCGGCTTTATTGGTACGTATGTGAATGCGTCGTGATAGCTGACGGAGAGCTCAGAATTGCCCGTGGAAATTCATCTCGTTCGTGGACCCGACATGGCGTAAACGCGTCGACCGCTCGCACGTAGAGCAGCGACTTGGAGGCCATCGCCGCTCTTTTTTGCTATTAGCTAAGTATACCGCCTCTGGCTTATGTTAAGCCTCGGTAATTATTTGTCACAGTCAGCTACGACGAGAGACAGACAGAAGAAGACGTGACGAGGCAAGGGCGAAGGGGAGACTTTCTCTCTCGGCTCTTTAGCACGATAGAAAAGAGTCTCATTGATCGCAGTACAATTAATTCTCTCTTTCTACATCTTTACGTTTTTTCTCTTCTTTGTTTTTAAATTTTTTTTTTCATTACGTATCATGAAAATCACTGATTAATTAGGCTTCTTTAATTGGCTATAGATATTTTATGAATGAAATAATGAATTTGCTATACGTTGAATATTTGATAAATTATAATGAATTTAAATTATATACTTCATAAAAGTATTATAGTGCATTAAAAACGCATTTTTATTAATTTATATAATTTATAACACGCCCTTCGAAACAAATCATTTAATTTTGAATACATAGTCGTGCAATGTAATTTACTTTTCCCTCGATTTAATTTTATATTACTTAAATATGTTTCAACATAGTCTTCATGACATTCCTTGGTATCATATAGCTTTAATCTCTTCTCGTTGCATTCTCATCCTGTTCGCATCCTGCAGCATATTTGTCCCTTTCGTCATTTTCGGCACGATTCTCATTCTTAATGTGATTTTAAGCAGCGCCACTACCAGATTAGAGCATTTCCGTGGCTGTGCTTGCAAATTATCTCTTTTACTTTCATTCGTCTTATCGTCTCATATGCTTTATTTCTACGAACAAAACATTATTAAGACAATTGTAAGACATGTTATTAAAATTCGTTAATTCTATCTTTTAGAGATGATTTATGTTTAATCTTACAATTTTTAAATATTCTTTCATTATGTTTGAAAAATATACTTTGTGTCTTTAGCTTATTTTACTTTACGAGGAATGCTCTTATCTTTTATTTTGCAATTGTTTTTGCAATTTTCTGCTCTAAATTAAGGAAGTTCTCGCGCTACTTCCTAGATCCTAGTTCCTTCCTACTCAATAGACAGTTTATTCATAATAATATGTAAAACAATTAAAATAATAAAATAAAAAGATTACTAACAGTATCTTATGCCATTATATATTGTTAATTTTATGTTACTAAATATTTTCAAAATGACAAAATAAAAGTTGTAAGGTGCTCATTTGATGTATACGCATCGTTCATTTGACATATATTCTAGCTTTTTTCATTGAAGAATATAAATTTCTTGTAAAGACTGTACGGTCAGTTTAAATGAAACTTTACGAGAATAAACTTAAGTGTTTATTTTATAATTATAACGATTTTTAAATTGCTGTCTTGTATGCAAGTATCTCAATTTAAAAGAGAATAACTACAGAATAAGATTATTCCTTCAATTTGTAATATAAAATTCTATAAATTTAGAATTAAATATCTTCAAAATGGTGTGTGTGTACGGTAAAAGTCAATTTTTTCTAGACATTACTGATATTATTAACTTTTATATTACATGTATATTATAGACTTGTCTTATATTTCATCAAACGCGAAAACCTCCCTAACGCAAAAAGAATCAGAATATTTAATTTCTGCTAGTAAGCGCTTTATTACGAATTCACAATCCGTACACGTCAACCAAAATCGCCCTTGCGTTTCCGCTATTACTCTAGGAAATCATTCTGTGGATAGATAAGAAAAGAAACGGACGAAAGGGTAGACTCTATTCTCCGCATAGCGTGCGGAAAAATGTTTCACGAGAATCAGTCATGCGTAAGGCGTTTCGTCCCACACATTTTGTCAGTCCGACATGTACAGACGAACACGTCAACAAATCATACATACGATCGTACATATACAAATCTTGATGGGATCCACCCTCTATGAAACAACGGAGCGAGCTTTGATCGACTCGCTTGGCTTATTTTCTATAAAGAAAATTCCCTTCAGACTAGAAGAAAGTTTACGCGGGGAAAATAGAAATAAAGAAAAAGAAAAGATAGAGAGATGAGTGAACAAAAAGTGATAATATATATATTTGGTTTTCTATACGGAAAAAATGTGACATTTAATATAATACGAACTTAATAGAAAGAACTTTCTGGAGAACTTGGATGCATGTCGTTGTATGTCGGAGATATTGAGCAAATATTTATTTTGTGCATGCTATATTGACACTTAACATTATTATTCTTACACGTTTTAATGAGAATCTTTTAATTATGTAATATTTAAGATCTCTTAGTAATGGAAATGTGAATGGAAATATGTTTATTTGTTAACACTGTCTTACTTAACCATGCTAATTTTCAGAAGGAACAGGCGTTGAGAGATGTGTATGATTTTCTGTAATATGTTGCTAATAATGAAAAATTAACAGCATTAAACCAATTAGATTAGTTATTAATTCTCTAGAGGCGAGTGTTGCATATTTACAATGTTTATTTTAAATTAAATTTGTGATAAATTCGAGGTTAATTTGGAATCTCTGCAGATTAATATATATAATTACGCAAATATGAAATGTAATGAAGCTTTATACCGTGTAGATTACTTACACTTAAGAATTGAAGAGGGAATTTATGTAGTGTATTGAACACTGAATATATACCTTATAGTATTTCTAATTGTCAGAAAAAAGCTGTACATCGATATATATCGATATATATATTGATAGAGTATACAACAATAAATTCTTCACTTGTAAGACATTTTTTAGCAAATCAGTAAAAAAAAAATTATTTTTTAATGATACGATACCGTTCCTAGAGAGTTAATAAATAGCAACGAAAAGTAGCGTTTCAGCCTTGGCAAGATTGAATGATATAAGTAACGCATGGTTGTCTTTGTAGTGTTTAGAACTCACACACTAGGCAGGCGCGGCGTTCGGATGCTTGATGACCGAAAACTGTCCTATTTATTTATTCTATGTTAAACGCGGTCGTTATTTACCTTTTAAGGTTTCTATGTGATTTTTGTTTCAGGAACGGAACTGGTGCCGAGCTGATCTGTATGAACATAATGTAGCCAATTTTTTCTAACATTTAATAATAGTTGATTTAACGCAAGATATTTTTATACACGATCTAGCTATACATATACATATAATGTATATATATCTCTACATATATATCTATTAAATATATAAATATTTGAGCTTTATGTACTTGTATATCCGTTACCGACACAAATTGTGGAAAAGAATATAATTCTATATGCTGTTGTATCTTTACAACTTATGCTATATGATTTTTTTGTTAAGAAAATAGTAATGAACAAATTTATAAAAGAATTGAAAATAGTGAAACAAAAAGCGTAAAAAGCTTGTTGATTTATTCATTAATAGTACAATATATTTGTAATTCATTAAAGTCTTGTGGATTGAAATAAAGTAGAAACACGGATATGCTTCCTCGGTTTATACATTTTCTCGATTTATACATTTGTTTATGATCAAAATTCTATTAACGGATAATATTCATTCCGAATGTATATAACGCGAAAATTTTAATGATAGTTTTATAGGTTATGTATTTAATTATATTCATTTATATAAATATATGGCTTGATAAAGTACGATTGTGATATTTATTGTTGCAGTGTTATGATTTCGCAGTTCGTACCTATATTGTGTTTATATGTAATTTTTTTACTCAAGCACATCCAGCACATTATTTCACTAAATAGCAACACGCTTTGCTGCATAATGGCAGACGAGAAATGAGTATTACGTAATTAATCTATATATATTATTATGTTAAATTATTTCTTTAAGTTGATCATATAAACAAAAATAGATGTTTATTTTATAATATATGCTCTATGATTTTTTTAAACATTTTTATATACAAGAAAAATATTCTAAATAATTTTTTAGTAATCGATTAGACATTGAAGCTGAAGATGCATAAATTTACATGAAATATTTTATTTTTTTAATGTAAATAAAGTAAACGAGAATTTACAGAAAAGATAATGAAAAATCGTACACATTTATTCTAATAATATAACAGGCAATAATGGCAATCTAAATTAAGCGGACTTACAAAATTCTTGAAGAATTTTTCTAAAACTCTACGATAGCTTGAGCGTGCGAGCAAGAAGAAGAGAAGACACAGGGTACGTATGTCTGTGTGTGTACGTGCGTTGGTCGCGCGTTAATTAGTTTGCAAGGAGTTTAAAGGCAAGCCTGGAAGGACTTCGTCAGGCTGCTAGGTGGTCCCGAAGCCTCGAGTCATCATTGCCTCATTTACTTCGTAAAACAATCTTGCCGGCAGTTCAATGGGCCTAACTATATCAAACTTGGCACCGCGTAATTAAACTTCCTTGTAAACCGGTCGAAAGGCAACAGGGTTTACGTGGCTAGTCGAATTTTGGTATGCGATATGAGATAATTAACAAATATTTGCGATTTCAAACCATGGAATCTATTTTACTATATATTTTTTTACACTTTATATACAATATTATATATTTTCTAAAAAATACAGTATACATTCAAGAGAATATTATAATTTTAGAAATGAATTGAAGTTAGAACACAGCCAATTGTCATTACAATAAGATTTAAAAAATAAAATTAAAAAATAAGCTTAATATGAAAATAAGGTCAAAGACCTTAATAAGATAATAATGAAATATTCTATGATGAAAGAGATAATTTTACAAATATGTTTATTTTTTGTGGTAATGTTTATATTTTTTTTATATGTATCGTAGCCTGAAAAGGAACGAAACGAGAGTAGCGTCATTTCTGCAACGAGGCAAATTCATACGAAATGCAAAAAGGACGCACAAGATCGCCTTTTGAAAAATCACTCTGGATTATTAGGGTACGCCAGATTTTCACCGTACGACCAATGTCGGGGGGTTAAGCTGCCGTTTTTACTGATTTTCTTTCTAATCCTTACAAATGTCAGGGTCATCAAGTTTTTTTCCCTAATTCGTATTGCGAACCGACCCGCATGAAAGCGTTAATCTTGACAGAACGGATCGTGGTTTTGTTTAGGAAATGCTTGTTAAACATTGTCGTATTATTAACAAGCGCGATATGGTACAACCGTAAAGTTGTTCGTTAATCTTATTAAAGCGCAAGAAACGAAGCGCACGGTATATCTTTGAATTACGCTGATACTGAAATTATTTTTTCCTGCTATTGCGTACCTTTCCGATTCTCGATTGACTAACTCTATAATAATCAGATCAGTCGTCACGGAAATACTATAGAGCTGCCATTCACTCTCGACCTCGGCCTCGACGAGCTTCTTTCTGTGAAGCTGAAAGGATCGTCCGAATTCAGCAGCAGTGAACCGTATGCTGTGTTACGTCGCGATTTCAGAGTCTGCGCGAAACTGGCACGATACACACGAGTGTCACTCTCTCTAATCTCTTTCCCGAGGACAAAACTATCTCCGTGGCGTAGACAATGGGGAGAATCGCTGACGAGTCAAGCGCAAACCCTTGAAATGACAAATGACAGGATGTATCCTAAATACACCGCTCTGCCGGAGTGTCCTATTTTCTTCGCTTCTCTTCAACGTTCATATATTTCTCTCGCATCTAGTTAGCGCAGTGGCTCAGTCGCATTACTTTAACGATAAATATTATGTCCATATCTTTGGTAATATTAAATTAATTAATATTTAACAACTATTTCTAGATCAGTAGATTTGTTATACTGAATCCCGCAGTAAAAATGTGGTCTTTCATAAATTTCAGCTGACATTAGGTAGATTTTATTTTATAAGTTTCACAAATAGCGTAAACAATTTGCACATAAAACAGTAATAGAAAATATAATTTTACTTGTATTGTATTGTCAAAAAAGTAATTTGAGAAATTATGTGTAATTTATATTTATAAAAAAAAATTTATGTATTTATGCACACGTATCTCGGCAGTTCATCGTTGTATCATTGTTATAAGTCGGTATGATTACATAAATACTAAAAACAGCTGTATATGGTAATGGAAAACTACTCGTTTCGTTATCCTGCTATCGTGTGCCTTCGCTTCAAGAAATTACTTCGGAGCGAGGTGAAGTCCGCGGAACTAACGCGATAGAAAAAAGTACGAGAACAATAATGAGACTCCTTTAAACGTACGCAAGCCTTTTGAAGTGGCAAACGGTACTGACTGCGAGAAATAGAAACATGTTAGCGAGAAGTCGTAATTAAGCCCTCGGCGGCATCATCGCTATTTCTTCGCTATCTCTTTTATGAGTACGCGATACCTTCCTTTTCATAGACACATCGCGGACTCTAATCTATCCCGAGACGTGCCGGCATAATTAATTTATTCGCGTTTGCGGCTCGTTAATTGAATAACCTTGGGCCCTTCCTCGGGATGGTTAATGAGCGCGGAGCCGCGCGGTAGCCACGAGTCTCATTAAGCGAATCGTGAGGCGCCCGAGGGGACCCCGGAAATCCTTTCCTGCTGGACGAAAATTATCGCCGGAAGGATTCAAGAGTAAGAACATGACAAATCTAGAATTCATAAGACGCAGCTTGAGCATCGTAAGTCAGTTCAAATCGCGGATTTATTCTACTCTTGCTCATTTTTAACCCTCAAATACAGTTATAAAAATTATAGTCTTAAAACGTCCTGTTTGAATACAAGTGAACCTCCACCTTATGACAATTGATAAGAGGAAGGTTTTAAGTTTTTTTTTATCTATAATTTAGAACTTCGTGATTCATTGAGAAAAACTTTATTAAACCTCAATACATTTTTTTTCCAATAATACTAACTAAACATTTACTTACAGCAAATAAATATTTACTTAATTAAATAATAATAGTTAAATCAAATTAATGATTCTTGTACCAAATAAATAAATATGTATTCACATTTAGTAAATATGTATTTAGTTAATACTATTCAAATAATTGATACTATTCAGACATATATTTATTAAAACTTAGTTCATTTTTTCAGTGTCTCAAGATTGTACAATTGTCTAAAATTTTCGTTTCGAATTCAAATGACCCGTTGCCATCGAGAATTAAACATCAACGTTAATCTAAACATTACCTAAAACCGAAATTTTTGTCATTGCGATCTTATGTTTATTTTCGCCTCCCCGTTGAAGTACCTCCTTCGCGTTTCACTCGCTGCAAGATAGAAGGACATTTTCATTCTCGGGACACTTCTCGCGATCACGGCACGCACCTTCAGTTAACGTGCAATTCTCTTCCTCCCACCGGGTGCCGTCCTCGTCGTTACTCCTTGTTCGGGATTCTTGCGGACATCGATGCACAATCGATTAATTCCCTAACCGAGTCCGTATTCATCGCCTCGCTTTAAACTACTCTCTTTTTTTTTTATTTCTTTTTTTATTTTTTCCTACGCGCGTTGGGCCTCCTCCTTAACTCGGATCGCAGCAAGATGGCCGCGAGCTCCGGTAAATAAGCGACTGTCATCTGACGCTCGCAAAAAGCGGATACACCGCGGCAGACTGGTCTCCGTGCTCCCGTCTTCGTCCTGCCCTCTCACCCTCGCTCTCGATCTCTCCCTTTTCCCTCTTCGTCTGTCCTCTCGCTCTCTGCTCTGCCACCTCCCTCGTTCCCTCTCTTTCTCTCGCTCTCTCTCTTCCTTACTTTTATTTACCCGTTCGTTTATTCCAGGCATCGTATCTCGCTGGATCTCTCCCCGCGTTCCCTTCTCCTTTTCCCTCTTCGACTTCGCGTTCCTCCTTTGCGCGGTCTGAAGATTAATTACAAAAAATCGCCGCGACGCGAATTGGAAACGTCGTTCCACGAACGACGAACGGCCGAGGGACATGTGGAGGAAGGGCATGGAGAGATATGTCCACCGATGAACTTTTTGGCCCGCGGAAGGTGGCCCAATAAGCGATCGGACGTTTCGGGACCGAAACGGAGGAAGCGGGCAAGTTTGCCGCGGGCTTAGTCGATCACCGCATCGCACATCGACAACAGCTGTCGAACAGGACTAACGTAATGTATACGAAATGTAAATAGCCAGTCTTGTTTGTCGCCAAAAATATGGACCCTCTTCATTCTCCGCCTTTCTCCATCAGATACGCGAATTTGCTATCGATTATGTTCGATTATGACGCC